TCCACAACAGGAAGATGTCCATGGATGGCCGCCAACTGGAATGCCGTCCGACCATCCGAATCAATACAATCGATATAGGCTCCTGAGCGAACGAATTTATTTCAAGGATATTTTCAGAGGGTGAAAGGGTAAAGGTCTGAGGTTGAGGAGTGTGGGGGGCGGGGGAGGATCGAAATGAACTTCCATAATAAAGAATGGGAACCCAAGAAGAACACAATAAAGACAATCAGAATTCAAGTACGGGTGAGGTACAGGGTTTCCGAAAAATAAGCTCATTACTATTCAAATTTTTGGACATGTTCTTTCACCTTGATCTGCACCTACAAAGAACTCACCATTTTTCGTCAGTAAATCCACGGCATCCAACTGTCCTTGACTTGCAGCAAGCATTAGCGGAGTTCGACCGAGGGAATCCTGAACAAAAGGTTATTGTCCTGCTCTACAGGTTACGGTAGATTACAGTGCAGCAAAGTCATTACCTGCACATCGATGCACGTAGCACCTAACAACGACTTCAGATTCCGATCACCATGATAGGCGGCCAGGTGGATGCAAACTCTTCCGTGGGCATCCGCCAATGTCAGGTCACTTCCTCCTTAAACCATGCACATATCAATAAATTAAACAAAAACAACATCATTATTTATTCATAAACAATGGAACAGCAAGATGTTGTGTGCACCGAGGTTTTGAGATTCTTAGATTGAATAGGCCGTTCATGATGTGCTATTCAAAGAGAAAAAAGGCCCCCTTTCCGATAGGCAGACCCTCTCGTAAAATTGTACGGCCAACTGTGGCGCAGAAGAGCCCGAAGCAGAGCGACCTGGAAGATGTGCGACCTGCGTTTCTGGCGTGCCCGGAGACGAATAGCGGTCGAGAAGTAAGTATTGAATAGAGTATCGCTAAAGGTGGTCACTTGTCTAAGAAGCGACATTTTTCACTTCTACTGTACGAAAATACCCTCTGGAAACCCCCGTCGAGGGCTACTGATTAATCACTAAGCTTAATGACTTACTCCTTATTAACGTCTGAACAGTCTTATCGTGTGCCTCTGTTTTGAACCGTTTGAAAGAGCCAGATGTAGCGCTGTGGCTCCAGCTGAGTCCGTTTCCTGCAAAACGAAAGCGTAGGTGGAAGATCAGTGAATCTAAAGTGAACACAAAGCATATGGGGTTCCAACAGGAATTCAGCGGATTTGCCCGGGTAATTTGATTCTGGACATGTTCGTAGAGTTGAAGGTACCTGGCCAGTTGGAATTCAGAATATAGGAGATGCCCAAAAAGCGTGCCATAATGTTCCCCATTTACCAACAAATCACCATTTATTGTGACGAGAAAAAAAATACGCGGCGCACCCCCTTCGGAAGGAAAACATAAAAAGCCTTCGACTTCTCGGGAAGTACTAGTAACGCAGCCACGAAAATCGGGATTTTGGAGAATGTAAGCATTTGGCGAGAAATTTCTGAGAACTACATTAGGAATTCGGAACAAGCTTGGGATAAGCGTCGATTGGAAGAGTTATCACGAAGAACTAATGTCAATACCACAGGAAAAAAAAACCTACAGAGATTTCAGCACCGTGATCAAGCAGTAGTTCGACAATCTCCCAGTGATCCATAAAAGCCGCAGCCATCAAAGCGGTGCGATCTTCAGAATCCTTTTTGTCCACGCTAGCGTGCGCTTTCAAAAGACGACTGACGATGTCACGATGACCAGCCCTGGAATGAATCCTAATAAATGGCTCAAGAAGCTCCTACTCGAGGACTTTACCAACAGTATCGGACACAAACGTTGTTCAAAAAGCTTTGGAATTCTTACCAAGCCGCTCCACGAAGCGCCGTTCGCTCACCGCTACCCACTTCGTCGACGTTGACGCCGCTTTCTGAAAAGATTCAAAATAGGTTTGGTTACAGAATATATTCCCCTTTTTCAATTCTTTTGTCATGGGAGCCCATTTTACTTTTTCTAGCCTAAAAGGCCCGAAAAAGTCTATGAACACTGGTGTTATAGTGTGTAATGGTTTCTTTTCACGAATACATTCTTTTTGGGTGTGACAGGTTCTACTAACTTTTAGTTACTCCAAATATCGTTTCCACTGAAGCTCAAGCTTCAAGGAAAAAGCAAACATGGGATGAAAAGGGATGGAAAAGTGAATCGTTCAGATCTGATCGAGCATTTTTTGAGTTGCACGGCGCATCTCAGTTTCTATTCAGAACCTAAGCATATAATGGTGTACGTTGATTCCTTATAAGACCAAGATGGAGCATTGACAAGCTGTTCCGCCACCTCGTACATGGCACAGGATCAAAATTCGGATTTAAGCCCGTCCAAACCATCCGATCCCCTTCACCCCTGAAGGTGATCAGTGAATACTAAACTCGCATCTGGAGATAAAAATACTGGAATGAAGTATGAGCTGAGCTCGTGAGCCATTTTAGCGGTCAAGTCACAGTGCCTCCGCGCCTCTGGATGGAAGTGGAATGCTTGGCGCAGCCAAAAGGCTATGACCGGCATGGCTTCATCGTTCCGATCCGGTCTTACTTGACCGACTTTATAGGACATGAACTTTCAATTGGTCTGGGCAAATTATAACCCAAGAAACGGTCCGCCGCCCCGGCTAGCTGTAGCAGCACCGAGAACAACGTCCCCCAATCAACAATTGAAGTTTTGGCGCAGCTCAGATTATGCGCCGCGTGTATCAAAAAGCAATAAATATTTAGATGGTAATTAATCTCCGCTAAGAGCACGTGTCCAGTGTGAGGGTGTGGATTAGCTGCTGCGAGAGCACGGCCGATCCAGATGGCTGTCGTGTCCATTAGGCAACAATTATGTGGGCAATATGTCGGCAGTAAATTGAATACTAAACAGCACTAATGAGACAATCAAGTGGTTTGTCATGGTCTGAGGCATAAGTACCTGTTGAGGATCAGATTTGAGTTATTGCTTGGTGGATTTTGCTGCTAGGATACTGTGTACATCCACATTAAAGA